GTGAGAAACGGGCAGAGAGGTAGCCGAGAGCAGCGGGACACGGGGAGCAGGCGCAGCGCAGGGCAGGGCCGCTCGCTGTTGAAGGGGATCCCGGGTTCCCCCGCGGCAGTTTAAGACGGTTAAACCAGACTTGATGCTTTTCTCAACTAAGCAGGCGCCCCGAGGTACCGACTCGACTGTGCTTCATCTGTGAGGGGCAGCCATGTGAGTCTGTAACGTTAAAAGCCAGCATGCCCGGGCACCTCACAGACTAACCGACTGCATTCTGCTACAAAGACCTTTTACATCTGCACTTGAAAGGGAATCCTCTGAACTGTCATTCATGTTAAAATTCGACACTTACCACCAGGGACTTAACAAGTCTTTGAACTTTCTCACCCATTATCAAGACAGTTTCCCCAATTATCACCTGTAATACCATTAACTCACAAACATCCCACTCTCCCTACCTCTAATATCATCAATTCACAGACACTTACCTTCCTTCCTCCCCCTTCCCACCCCCCCGCCTCCTCCTTCTGTTCTGCAATGTGATTTGTCCTTTTCATATTTGTTCATTTTTTTAAATTGTATCCTTTGGTATATATGGTTGTGACTACTTTCTTCCACTATTTGATCTGAGGAAGTGGGTCTGGCCCACGAAAGCTCATCATCTAATAAACCATCTTGTTAGTCTTTAAAGTGCTACATTGTCCTGCATTTTGCTTCAACTACCCCAGACTAACACGGCTACATTTCTATCACTATTCGACATGTACTGAGAGCCTGGACCGACCCCTCTTCTCACTCGGCTGTCAGTAACAAAAGACAGGACTAGGCAGCACTTTAAAGACTAACAAGATGGTTTATTAGGTGATGCGCTTTCGTGGGCCAGACCCACTTCCTCATCAAATTCTGGAAGAGAATTGGCATGAGCATATTTATACCCAGACCCGATCCCTGCCCCCCCCAGCTCTGTTCTGCCCATTCCCTGCACTGCCCCTAGACCCCGATCCCTCTGCCCCTCCCGTTCCCCACGTCCCATTCCCCATGCCTCCACCGTACCCTGCTACCCCCGATCCCTGCATCCCTCTGGCTCTGTGCCTCCCATTCCCTGCGCCACCCCCATACTCCCCCACTGTTCCCTGCACCCCTCTGGCTCTGTGCTGTCCCTGCACCCCCTGTGGGTAGGGAGTGAAGGATGCTTGCCCATAGGGAGGGGCTGCACAGAGCAGGGAAAAGGCTGCTGTGACCCAGCAGCGAGTGAACGGGGGAGTTCACCTGAAGCGCCTTTGCCTTTAGGGTAAAAAATGAATGAAAATGCTATTTGTTGTTTATAGGGCTAAAATGCCAGGACAAAAAAGAAAAGAAACAAAAAAAAACCCTTGCAAAATGCAAACGTGTAAAAGACAACAACAAAGGGGGGGGGGGCAAAATGTTTTGCTTGGTGCTGCAAAAAACCTAGAGCTGGCCCCTGGGGAGGGAAAGGGGCTGGGCTGGGCAGTTGGGAGGGGAAAAATATGGGGAAGGGGCTTTTGCTGAGGGGAGGAGGTCAGGAGAAGAAGAAGAAGAAAGGGGAAGGCACCAAGGGACAGTGGTGCAGGAGAGACAAATGCCAAGGGGCCAAGTACAGACAATGAGGAAAAGGGCAGGAGGGGAGGTGTCAGTGAGAGGGGGGACAGAGTGATGCTGGGAGAGGAGAGGGTAAGGGCACTGGGGGCTAGAGGAGGAGGGAGAGGTGCTGGGAGAAGGCTTGAAAGAAGGGGTGGGCATGAGGAAGGCAGGGATGGAGCAAGGCATCTGTGAGGGCACAGTGGCATGAGGGGAATGGGGGCAGAGGGTGGTGAGGGAAGGGAGAGGCAGCAGGAGGGGGCAGGGCTAAGGGAAGGTGCAGGTGCCAAGGGATTCTGGGGGTGAAGCAGAAGGGCAGACACCTGCAGGGGAGGGACCAGCACCAGAGGAGAGAGGCAGGGCAGGTGTGTAAAGGGAGGTTTAGGAGAGGGGATGAGGAGGGGTAGCTTACACGATCAGAGTGGGGCTACTGGAGGAGTGGGCACAGGGCGGAGAGAAGGGCTGG